CCCATTACCCTTATACGAGCCTTATATGAGCCTTATATGGGGGTACCCACCTGGTAACTACCCACCTGAAACTGTCCCTGACACCCCGCTACTGTGTTTTAAAGAACGACTCGGGGTCGTTTGAAGCAGAGCTCAGGAGCGCTTGAATCGAGATATGACAATCATGAGTCTGGGTTGCTGTTAAGGAACTTAAGTTAAGTTGCCATAATGGGTTTAGGGTTTAGGGTTTAGGGTTACCATAATGGGTATATATATATATAGTAATAATAGGGTTTCCCCAATATAGTCACTTAACTTAAATTCCTTAAATCCTCATATTCCCCCAGTTTCCATTTCATTTTCCATTTTCTTTTCCATTTGGTTCTCCAGTATAGGGGGATAATATCCCTAAACCCTAAACCCTAAACCCGAAACCCAGGAGTCTCTTAGTCTTCGGGGCGACGCTTGGCATGCCCCGTGAGCTCATGCCGGCTTGCTACATGGCGCGAACCCTCTGCTTCACCTTCACCAACAGCCACTGGGTTTAGGGTTTAGGGTTTAGGGGCACTGAAACGCTGTTAAGGAACTTGATTTAAGTTAGTAGATTGGGGAACCTTAGTGTTTATTATATGTACCCCTTATGGTAACTTAATTTAAGTTCCTTTAACAGCCACCCAGGCCAGTTTAGCAACAAGGTGAACATCATGTTGGCACCCTTCTATGTGATGTCGCACTGGCTTAATTTCGAACCCGGCGCGCCAATAGAGAAGCTCTTGTTTTCCATGATCGGTGAGGTGTCATAGAGTTCCTCAACCCTTCCACAAAGAAGGGGTACCCCCTACAAGAGTACGGACAGCCCTAAACCGTGACCACCCGTGAATTTGTGGGGGTGCACTCCTTTGGGGGGGCTTTTACCCTCGACCCCTAAACCCTAAACTCGAAGGAAAGCCTAATGTAGACCCATGATTAATAAACCCCCTCCCTTTAAAGGCCCAAATATTAGGATCCCTATTATAATCCCTATTAAGGGGAGGGGGTTTATTAATCAGGTGTCTGGGTTATCAGGTGGTGGCAGTCTCGCTCATGATCTTAGTCGTTACGAACCTCGACACCAAGGAGCTGGCATGGGGGTTTAGGTTTTCTTTGCTGTTCCTAAATCCTAAACCCAAAAACCCTAAACCCCAAACTGGTTTAGGGTTTAGTGCTTAAGGCTTGAGGTTTCTTCTAGTAAAGCTAGGGGATTACGGTTGAAGGTCCCTGAAGTATACGTACACCGAGCACAAGGAAATCATAGCAGAATCTAGTGCACAGCCCTGGCCTCTATTCCCTCGACATTTGTTGTCGCCTTCTCCAAATTATCCTTGTCTATTCCGTAATGTGTCTCTCATAATGCTACTGTAAACCAAAATTTTGCTGTCGCAAGGTCCGCCTCATTTTTGAGAAATGTTGCCCGAACCCCAAACCCTTTCCATCCCATGACACCTTCAAGCAATCTCGCCTGAGGGCTCCTATGCTGGAGTTCCTTCGTGGTTTAGGGGGGTTTAGGGTGGTTATGATATGTTGGTAAGGGATTATACAATATGCCTCTTACTAACGGGCTGCATGGGAGGTAATTGCTCGGGAAAGGGCGGCACCCCTGCAAACCCTAAACCCTCCAAAACCCTTTGACAGGAGCATCATGCGGCTGCAGCCACTATGGAGTTGGAAGCCAAGGTAAGCCTAGGGTCTAGGGTTCCAGTCTGATTCAAGGTTCAGGGCAGGTGTTGGGTTCAGCTGCACCATTTACTGAAGTCCCCAACGTGGAGGGAGATGATAGTTTTGTACACTGTCCCACTAATAATACAATCAATATGAGTGAGCTATAGTCTAAACTCCTAGTATCGCCCTTAATAACCCCTACAATACTCCCCTTCACAATCCCCTATATTGCCCCCTTTAAGGAGCTTAGACCCTAGGCCCTAAAGCCTAAACCCTAAACCCCAATGAGTATCGTACTTTCCGAAAGCGTTGCCCAGGTGGCAGAGGTCGCAGAAGCAGAGCGTACAGGGGGAGCTGCTCAACGTTTGCTCTCAGTGACTTGGTATCCCTTGGGTTTAGGGCCAGGGTTTAGGGCTTAGGGTTTTGGGGTTTAGGGTTTGGAGCTTCCTTATTAAAATTGGACATTAGGAAAAAGGGTACCCTTAGAATTTAGGGGTTACTGGGGAACCTAGGTGACCTGCGATGCTTCAGTCCGCTTAACACATGACCTGAAAATTCAAACCCCTTCGCGTGGGCTGCTGGACATCTTGATGTGTAATTTCGGCTCCAACTGCACGAGTCTTCTGGAGGGCATGCCGTTCCTACGCTATGTGGCGCAAGGAGATCATGAACGCTTCATGAAATTCATTGATGAGAATTCTCAGACTACATCTCCTGCAAGGTCCCTGCATGTGGACATGAAAGACTCGAGCGGTGTCATTTTTAAGGCGGAACTCTTTCACGTCACGGTCCCCAGCCTCATGGGAGATGTTGGGCATGAGCACTTGATTGGAATCACCAACGACAGTGCTGATGATCGACTGGGAAGAATGGAGCAAATTGAGGAGTTTGACTCCATGGCCCCACTACAGGACCTGTCCCTGGGTTGCTGTTAAGGAACTTAAATTAAGTTACTATATTGGGGAATCCCTATTATTTACTATATATATATACCCACTATGGTAACCCTAAACCCTAAACCCTAAACCCTAAACCCTAAGTTCTTTAACAGCAACCCAGGTCTCTGAGCAGTTTTCCACCCATCCGCGAGGCCGATCTTCGGCGCCATGGAGGCGCTCACTCGCATTCGGTTGCGCCGTCGCAGAGCCATTCAAGGAGTCTAGGAATAGGGTTTAGGGTTTAGGGTTTAGGGTTTAGGGTTTAGGGTTTAGGGTGGTACCCTTTTACCCTTTCTGGGTTCTGGGTTCCCATATATAATATGCCAACAGAAAAAAGGGTACCCTTATTGTAATATGGTTACTGGGCTACCAAGATATACTATTGTGGGGGTCCCAATGCTAGGTGACCATGGTATTGTTGGGCC